AGTTCTTGGAATCCAAAATGTTGGAAGATCGTGATTTAGAATTAATTTAAGAATTTATCATCGAATTTAGGTAAAAATGCGAACACTTTAATTTTGGAATGACATACACGTGAACATCTAGACGATCTCGTTTTTGAATTAAAGAAAATTTTAATTTCAGGATAATTCCTCTTCCGCATTCCAACACATTTGAGTTTAGTAACTGGTAAACGAGGGAACTGAGGTATGGGAAATGTTAAATATTAACCATATGTTTGCTAGAAGTGGATTGTGTCCAATCATATGACAGAAAAAGGATAAAATTTTAGTCTGTTTTGGCACAACTATTGGCAAGTTAGGATAAATTATACTTCGACTTCACATGCATATAGCTTGGACTTTATGCTGGAAGTAGAGCACGGGAGTGATAAGCAGTGATAATTGATTAAGTGGATGGCTAAAACCTGCAACAGAGTAAGAACTCTAGTTAAAGATGAAACACAAAACCTGACAGAAGTGAGTTTTGGTTACTAATATGTAGACAAAATGGGGATTCCTATTTACTTGAATGAGCTTTCTTTCTGCAGGCTTATTGGGAAAGGTTCAAGAAATGGTCGGCGATGGTGGTGTTGTTGAACCCACTACTCGGATTCTGTTCTGTGGGCCTTATTTTCCTGCTTCTCATAACTATACAAGAGAGTATTTGCAAAGCCATCCATTCATACAGGTGTTTCATATTATTGCATTATCTCCTTGTGTTTGTTAGTTTATTTAGTACTTACTGGATGTACATTTCAAGAATCAAATTATCTGAAATTGTATGTTAGGAAGAATGACCTTAGAAGCATTATTCTACAATCCATCTCAAATTGTTTTTCATGCCATCATTGAAGAGGCAAAATTGGAATCTTTTTCATTTTACTTCGTCCATTTTCTATGAGAATTTATCCAAATGATTATTTAAAAAAAGAACTCTGCCATCTGCTTCAGTTTTCGATCTGCAATACTTTTTTTCTGAAATGTATGTTATCTATTCCTATGATTGTTATAAAAAATTGTCAACTTAAGATTTTTTTATTTTTTTTATTTTTTTTCATCTTTGATGTATCCATTTCACTCTTTAGAATTATATCTGTGCATCTATCTGACATTCATCATGCTGTCTGTCAGGTTGATGATGTTGCTTTCGATAATATCCCTGATGTTATTGGAAATTATGATATTTGTATAATAAAAAATATGCAATTAAATTCAGATCTCATCTCCCGTGCAAAACGGATGAAGCTTATCATGCAGTATGGAGTTGGCATAGAAGGTATCTTTTCTTAACCACGATGATCTCAATTGTTAAGCATTTTTTTTG